GGGCGGGGCGGGGCGGGGCGGAACAAATTGGCAGTCACAACCGGCCATCTCGCTTCTCCCGCCCGGAAGAGGAGGGAGGAAAGAGCAATATTTGATGAGGTGTTAAGCAGAAAGCGTGGCATATATATTGTCATTTCTGGAATGAAATCTCCAGGTGTGATTAGCGTACCTCTAAATTGTATTTATTTTGACAACATAGTACAAAATATATACCATGGAACAAATGGGATTTGCAGCAAAATACAATATATCCTTACTGCCTAAATATTTCTGCTCTACCAAAAAACCATGACTTAAGTAGTATGGGAACTTAATCAGGCCAAATCATTTGGCCCTTTGCTCTGCATCCTAGACATCCCCTTTTCAACGTCTCAATTTGTCCTCAACATTAAGTGGCTTTGGGAGACTGCGGAACCTGTCTTACCAAACTTTACCTGTCTTTTGTAAAAATAGAAGAAAGATGCTGACATTTCTTTTTTATCTGTAGTCAAGTTTTGGCTAAAAATACCACTCACTGCTTTTATTTTAAACTTTATTACAGCCTTAGATCCAGAAAACTGCTTTTGTTTGCTATTAGGAAAGTTACTTTAAAATAATTATGAAGGCAGCCAATCCTTTATTAACTGCACGAAGAGAGTAGACATTAAATCAGTATGTGCAAGTCAAACCCTATTGAAAATGGTTCTTAACTATAGACAGTGGCTCTTCTGTGGTGAATGTGAAGTAGCTACTAAGTACCTAAAAGTTCAAACTGATTAAAGACAAGATAGTTTATTATAGTCATGGAATAGCTCAAAAACAGAAAGAAAATGAAGTGTGAGGCAGCAAATAAAGAACACAGTAAAACTCAATTATTATAAAAATGGTGTGGTCAAGGTGTGATGTATTTACAAATAGTAAAACAAAACTTAGCCACATTAAGATAAATAAATCATATTGATCAGGTAATAGCAACTGTAAATAAAATGGATGTGGATGTTTGGAAATTTGAGTACTGTAGATGAGGTATTACTAACTGCAACTGGGCATCTTTGTACTGTAGTAGCAGCAATATGAAAGGACATGAATTATCATTTCAGAAACTCTTCCACTACAGGGGCAGAGTCTTTGTTCAAATGGAATGATGTTGTTTCCCCTCAAGAAACAAACAGATTAAAATTACCAGGAAAGACAGCTGCTGGTTAATCAACTGGAATAAATGTCGTACAAGTAAAATGTCATACAAATATACTCATTCTATTATTGTGGCTCAGTGCTAAGAATCTAACTTCACTATCAAAAATAAATGAAATTTTAGCTTTTGTCACACAATCATATTTATATAATCCATTACTTTCTCCCCAAACTTGGTAAGTATAGGACATTGTAGAAACATATGTTTTAAAGAAGCATTATTCTTATTATATTTCCAACAAAATGCTATTTTTGACAGTCCATTTCTATACAAATGTAATGGAGTCCAATAAATTCTAAATGTTATTTTTGTTGTATAAAATAGGTCCATTGATGCTCTTGCTATAGAAGTTAAGATACTCTCCCATTGTCTAGACAATATAGGAACCTCTAATTCTTATTCCACTCATTTCTTAACATCTGCATATTAACTTGATTTATTGATAACAAATATATATACCAACTGATAGTGTTTTAGTTTTAAAGGGTTTAACAAGTTATTCTAGTATTTCAGGTGTCTCAGAAGCTGAAAATGCTGCTCATCCAATGTTGATAACAACTATTGTAACTGTAAATATTGCTATTGGGTTGCATCTGATAGATGATATTTATTTCTTAACACAGAGTATGTTAAAAATTCATCATCATCTATCAGTTGGCCCAAAGTCCCTGCTTCCATCCAATTTCTTCATATCACCATCTTTTTTCCAAAAGCTAAAATTTTCAGAGGATAATATTCTCTTGAATTACATACCTAGTACATGGAACCTGACAACTGAAAAACATAAATGGATTCTCTGTGCCTTTACTATGGCTAAAAGACTGATATTGCAGCATTGGAAAGATAAATGTA